TTTAGTTGGAGTCTCACTCTGTCGCCCAGACTGGAGTGCAGTGGCATGCTTCCGGCCACCGCAGCCTCGACCTGCTGGGCTCCGCGATCCTTCCGCCCTCTGCATCATCCTTCCAAGTAGCTGGAACTACAGGCACGCGCTACCAAGCCCGCTAATTTTTGATTTATTGTAGAGATGAGGGCTCACCAAGTTGCCTGGGCGGGTCTCGAACCCGCAGGCTTAGGCAATCCACTCACCTCGGCCTCTCAAAGCGCTGGGATTACAGGTTGAGCCACCGAGTCCCGCCTAGGCTAAATTTTTAATTTAAAAGATGTGAGGTACAATTCAGGGTTAGGCATACAAATATTCATTATGCAGGTACCCTTGCTGATGAGGTGTGCTAAGATGGTAAATTTTATATGTAGTTTATCACAATTTTTAAAAACAATTTAAAAAATCTTTACACACACACAAACTTTCTATTTTTATAACATTACTTTAGCTCTTTATAGAAATAACTTCATGAGCCGGGCTCGGTGGCTCAGCCTGTAATCCCGCGCCTTTGGGAGGCTGAGGTGAGTGGATTGCCTGAGCCCACGGGTTCTAGACCCGCCTGGGCAGCTAGACCTCATGTCTACAATAAATCAAAAAACCAGCCGGGCGTGGTGGGGCATGCCTGCAATTCCGGCTACTGGGAAGGCTGAGGCGGAAGGATCGCCAGAGACCAGCAGGTCGAGGCTGCGGTGGCCGGGAGCGGCCACTCCACTCTAGTCTGGGTGACAGAGTGAGACTCCAACTCAAAAAAAAAAAAAAAAGAAAGAACTTCATGAAACAATTATTTAGTACTGTATTTTTGAATTTTTAACAAGGTCAGTGTAAGAGAGTGATTTGAAGACAATTTCTACATCTCATGTTTATAAGAGTCACATAATTAAATTTATGGCCACTAGTGATAATGTTTTGTTAAATGTTGAAGTGATAATTCTTCCTTGACTTTAGTTCAAATAAGTTTGCTCTCTTTCTCTCTCTCTTTTTTACCTCTCTCTTTTTTTTAATAGAGAGGGGTTCTCACTATGTTACCGAGGTTAGTCTCAAATTTATGGGCTCAAGCAGTCCTCCCACCTCAACCTCCCAAATTGCTGAGATTACAGTCGTGAGCCACTGCACCTGGTCAAGTTCGTTTTCATGATGAATTGCTGCCTACTTTCTTTATGAGATAAAAAGAAATCTATTTACTTTTCTGCTTTGACTATCAGGAACTGAGAGCCACCTTTTATACTGAATTGTAGTGATCAGCTGGTCAAACCAGTGTTTCACTGGAGAATCATTAGCCATCATTAAATAAAGTCCTTCCTATCCATTTTGAACACCATGAGAGAAGTGGCTTGGTTGGAGTTCAGTGTCTGAAATTCAGACTGTTAACTTTTTTACTTTAAACCATGTTTCTCTGTCCATGATTTTTTAACAGCATGACTGTAACTCTTGTTGTACCTCATTTCTGGATAATTATTTCCCATATCTTCGGGATTCTCCTGAGGTCTTTTCAAATGTTTTTGACATATGCCACATTGGCTGTGTTTTAAATCGAATAATCTCAATCATATCTTCTAAACACAGTTTTTAAATATCCATCCAGATGTTTTTTAGTGGGACAGTATTAGACAAAACCATAATTTTTATTTTATTAAAATAAGTTACATTTTATTGATGTGGGCAATCCACTCCATACATACACTATAGCCCTGCTCCATCAGTCACTAGAGTTCCAAATTTTAGCCCTTTTTTAACTCTCTTTTTTTCTTTCTTTGAACATTGAATCAACTGTCAAGTTCTGTTGATTCTTTTTTTTAACAATATTTTTTATTTTGATATTGTGGGGTACAGTTTAGGGTTAGGTATACAAATATGCTTCGTTCAGGCACCCTTGTTGATAGGGGTGTCTCCCTGTAAGTTCTGTTGTTTCAATGCTTATTTTTACATCTGATCCTTCCTTCAACGTCACACCCTCCCATCTCCCTTCTTCAGGTCTTTGTAATTTCCCACTACTGGATTATTACAATCTCCTTCCCATAGGATTCTCTCACTACCCACAGTCAGTTCTCTATGTGGTTGCCAGATTCATCTTGCCAAAGCAGAACTTTGTTGTCTTCACTCTTGGCATTTATAAATGCATTCTAGAATGCGGCTCAAGTCAAGGGTCTGGTCTAATTAGCACTATTCTTCTAGACATAGCCCAAGCACAGCCAAACTGAAATACTCACTGTCCCTGCAATATGCCTGCATTTTCTTAATGTTTGGGTTCATGCTGTTAAGTCTTGTGGAAAGTGCTCTAATCACCTCAACCTTAATTTCTGCCAGTTAGAAATACTACCCATCCTTTATATGCCACCTCTATAATTAAACTTTTCTTGATTCTTTCCAAAGATGTGATTGCTCCCAGTTTTAACCTTCCCCCCGCTTTTTATATCTGGTCATCTCTTATGGCAAATAGTGTATTCTTATATAAAACTTACTTGTGTATTTCACGCTCCCACACTCCTAAGATAATTAACCATGTCTATCTGCTTGCTTTTATGTTTCTCTGTATTTTCTGCTTAAATCAATGTCTTACATTCTAAAGGTGCTCAAAAAATAATGAATTGAAATAGACATAAATCCAATACTGGCAATACATCTCAAGGAAATAACTCAAAGGACTTTAAAAAAGAAAATCGCTATAAAAGTGTTTATTCAGAACACCAACACATAACAAACAATGCAAAAATTCAACAGTATGGAGAATTAGATAAATTAAGGCCAGGATCCAAATCGAATTATTTTCCTGTGGATGGCCCATAGGAAGTCTTTAATATTTATTAAATAAATGGTATTACCTGTGTGGCAATATTATGTAATAAAGTGCATATGAAATCAGGCTAAAGAAAACATAACTTTCATAAAGCATAGGAATTACATCTGCAGAAAACCGATGGAGTCACATTAATAATCAGGGGCCAGAGAAATCCACCTGACTCACTTGTAAGGCAGTTTTAAAAGGCGTCGTCATACATACTCACTTTGATTCTCACAACAACCCCGCAGAGTACGCATGGAAGGTTATTATTAACTCCGTTTTACAGGTAGAGAGACCGACCCACCGAGGTCAGGAATGAATGACTCTGGCCCCCGCCTCCCGGCTGCAGGTCCCGGGTTCCTTCCCCGCCGCCGCTCCGCGACCGTCATTGGCGTTGAGGGTCTCGGTTTCCTTTTCTTTGGCAGCATTACATTTGCGAACGGAGCCCAGAGACGCAGGTGGCCAGGGAGAGTCAGGTGCTTGGCGACAGCTGACAAGCGTCACCCCGGGCCCGACGTCCGGCTCTGGCCCCGCGACAATAGAGTCCGGAAGTGCAAGCAGAGCGGCTGCCGGGGGCTCTGCGCAGTCCCGCCCGGGACCAGCAAAGGCCGCGCCCCGGCTGGCGGGCGGGCGGGATGGCTGCAGCGCTGGCCCTAAGGGTGTTCGCGGGGTTGACGGCCGCTGCGCTGGTGGCCGTGCTCTTAGAGCACTATGGCCTGGCTGGCCAGCCCTCGCCGCTGCCCCACGCCGCGCCGCACCGCAGGCCGTACCCCGCGCCGGGCCCCGGAGACAGCAACATCTTCTGGGGCCTGCAGGTGATGCCGCGCGAAGCCCGGCGGGGGGCGGGCGCGGTGCGGCGAGACCCTGGGCGGTTTCTGCTGGGGCGCGATCCGCCCCTGTTTGGGCGGTCTGGACTCCAGGCTTCAGACCGGGGCCTCAGTCTACTTGTAACTCGAGGTTCTGTGTAGTGCTGGACCCAACTCGATCCTTCCCTGGGGGTTCGTCAATGGCACTGCTCCTCTGTCTTTTCTTTCCGCCGGAGAAAGCCGCTGGGCCGCCCCTGCCCATGCTGCTTGCTGACTTATCTCTCTGTTCAATGCCTGCTTTCGGCAGATATCCGACATTCACCTGAGCAGGTTTCGAGATCCAGGCAGAGCGGTAGACTTAGAGAAGTTCTGTTCTGAAACTATTGACATCATTCAGCCAGCTCTCGTCCTAGCAACAGGTAGGGAGGCTTGCTGTGCTGTGGTCGTGTTCTGTGGTCCGAACGGTAGAATGCTAGCCAGGACTGCCACTTTTCTCTTTGGGGACAGTAGGAACACTATAGCCCCAGCCCCAGGTGAGCCCTGTGAAGTCGAGGAGATGGGACAGTATAATTCCCTTTGCCTGTAGGTAACTGAGTCAAGATCCAGACTAAATGATTTGCCATAACCAGGTTTTGTCAAGGCAGTAGAAGCAAGGCTCTTCATTCTCATGTCAATGTGTTGTCTGTTAAATTTGTATCCGTTTGTTGTTGTGTTGGATTTGAGAGGAAGTTTGGGAAAGCCCTGTAGCCACGAATCAAAAGCTCTCTTCTTTTGCGAACTTCTCTATTTTCTTTACAATATTAGTTAATCTTACGTTACGTTTTCAGTTTGAAGCTTGGAGCACTACAGTGACTCAGCGCTCAATGCTCTTTTTCTCGATTTCTTGATACTTTTGTGACTTGGGTTTCCTGGACTCTTCAAACCCTTGATTATTTGCTCCCAAACTGTGTGGGAAGAAGCAAAAAGAGCATCTGCCTTGTTTGCTGAGGGATTCCTCTCCTTCCTGAAGCACCTCTGCTGATATGATATGATGGGGTAACAGTGCTCATTTAATGGGTAGTCCCCCATTTCAAGTGTTTTGTTTAGTGTCCTATACATTTTGGTATTTCCTTGTCCAAGTTACACTACCAGATTGCTTCTTGCTCTAAAAATAATACTTGGTCAAATCACATATCCTGAGTTGAGGTTTGTAAAATATGGTTGCCATAGAGATTAGGTCCTGCTCAGAGTATTGTAATTTCTTATAAAGGATTTTCATTTTATCAGAGTCTATTGATGTATTTTGTACTGCTTTCTTTAAAGACTTTTTTTATAGCTCATTTCTAATATCACAGGAGGTTACGTAGGCACTTGCTAACCTATAAGAAATAAAGCCCTTGCTGAGAAAATCTTATTAGTTAGATGGCTTGCTTTAGACATAGGTGACTCATAAGAGATTGTGCTTAGCATGTTGAGTACTTCAAGTACCTTTGCTCCTTCAGTGTATGAATCTAAAAAAATTGAACCCCCTGGAGTTTATTTTGCGTTGTGATTCCATTCATATGTAAACTCATAGGAGACCTGACAGATGCCAAAACAAAGGAACAGTTGGGATCCAGGCAGCATGAAGTGGAATGGCAAACTTACCAGGGTATTCTGAAGAAGACAAGGGTCATGGAAAAAACCAAGTGGCTGGATATCAAAGGAAATCACGGTAAAAATCAAGACCAAGATATAATAAAGACAATTTTTTTTTCCTTCAGGTACCTAGATTTTCCAATTTAGATTGTAAAATTATAAAGTTGACATTGTAATATAGGTTTAGATACACTAAAAGCCACAACTTTGAAATACAGTATAATGTGATTTAAAATTTTCAGACGACTGAGTGGGGTGGCTCATGCCTGTAATTCCAATACTTTGGAACATCGAGGTAAGACGATCACTTGAGCATAGGAGTTCGAGGCAGCATGGGTAACATAGCAAGATCTTGTCTCTATTTAAAAAAAAATTAAACATAAAAATGTCAAATGTCATCGTTAGCCTTTGAGATCACAGTTGATATGGTCCTTTCTTTACATAGAAGAAAGGGGTCTAGCAAAGCTCATATAAGCAGTTTTTAAAAATTATTATTATTCTTTTTTAGAGAAAATGTTTCCTTCTTTCACCCAGGCTAGAGTACTGTGACTCAATCATAGCTTGCTGCAGCCTCAAATTCTTGGGCTCCAGTGATCCTCCTGCTTCAGCCTCCCGAATAGCTGGGACCATAGGCATGTACCACCATGCCCTACTAATTTTTTTTTTTTTTTCAGTTTCTGTAGCGATGAAGTCTTACTATGTTTCCCAGGTTGATCTGGAACTCCTGGGCTCAAGTGATTCTTGCACCTCAGCCTTCCGAAGTGCTGAGATTACAGGTGTAAGTCATTGTACTGGCCCAGAAGATATATTTTTTTAAAGTCTACATTTCGCTAAGTAAAAGAAACCAAACTCATAAGTCTTCATACTGCATGATTCCATTTATATGACATCCAGAAAAGCCAAAACTATAGATAGGCAGAGAACAGCTTGCAGCTGCCAGGGGTAGGGGTTGGGGGAAAGATTGACTACAAAAAGGCATCAAAAGATAATTTTTTGGAGGTGATAGAACTGTCTGTTTTTTTCTCTTTTTTTGTCTTTTCTTTGAGTTGGAGCATCACTCTGTTGCCCAGGTTGGAGTGCAGCGGCACGATCCTGGCTACCGCAGCCTTGACCTGCTGGGCTCAGGTGATCCTTCTGTATCAGCCTTCCAAGTAGCTGGGAGTATAGGCACATACTGCCATGCCCGGCTAATTTTTTGATTTATCGTAGAGGTGAGGTCTTGCCATGTTGCGCAGGCTGGTCTTAAATTCCTGGGCTCAGGCAATCCTCTCTGCTCAACTTCCCAAAGTACTGGGATTATTGGTGTGAGTCACTGCGCCCAGCCCTCTTCTGTATTTTGATTATGGTGGTAGATACATGACTATGTATTTGTCAAAAATCTATGGACCTGTACACCCTAAAGACTGAATTTTACTATATGTAAGTTAAAAAAAATTTAAATTGCAAACAAGTCTCCATAGACATAGGCAGAGAAATAGATAATCGTAATGTTATTAAGGAAATAAAATGTTCTCCAAAAGAGTCCTGATAGTAGATTTGTTTATTTTGTAAAGGATGACTTTCTTATTAGTTAGTTAAGTACTTCATTTGTCTACTCTTTTTGATCCACAGATCAAATAAGCCACTTCTTGCTAGAATCACATAATTAAAATAGCAACAATAGTCCAATCTTATAACTTCAGATTTGTTTATTTTTTTCCCCGCATTTCTTTTTTTTGTTTTGTTTTGAGTCTGGGGTCTCACTCTGTCACTCAAGCTGGAATACAGTGACACAGTCACAACTCACCACAGCCTTCACCTCTTGGGCTCAGGTGATCCTCCTGCCTCAGCCTCCCTAGTAGCTGGTACTACAGGCTTACACCACGATGCTTGGCTAATTTTTGTAGAGACGAGGTCTCACTGTGTTGCCCAGGCTTCTTTTGAACTTCTGGGCTCAAGCAATCCTCCCGCCTTGGCCTCCCAAAGTGCTGAGATTGCAGGCATGAACCACAGCACCAAGCCCAAATTTGTTTATTCTAAATAGTACATAATTCAAAGTATCTGCTATTCCCCAATATACTAGGTACCTTAAAAAGTTTCCAGATAATCTGAATTCTGTTAAACTATCAAGTTTAAAAAGTCTCAATCTAATTGATTGGCATTCTACCATTTAATGTGTTAGAGAAAGATAGCAGAGACCACCCTGGATATGTGTCAGCATTAGCAGCTGACAGAGGCTACAGCGCAGAGGGGGAGGACGAGGGGAAGGTGCAGGAGTGATTGTCACACCTGCTGGCCTCTTGCCTCTTGCTACTCCCTGCCTGAAGGCTTCCAAGCCGCAGTCAACACTGAGTATCCCAATGGCCCCATCCTCCCTCAGGCATGTACTGGGCTCAATTCAGGCTCAGGACTGCACGCAGGCATCTCCAGTGCCCAGGAATCACTGAATGGGTGGACAGAACAGCCTCCTTGGAAGGTTAGCCATATCAGAGTCCCGCCTTGGCATGGGTCTTACCATTGAGGCAGCTCCACTATCTGTGCGGTCTGAAAGTGTTACCCATCATGGGGCCACCATCTCCCAGGGAGCCCTCATTGCATCATCTGCAATGAACCCCTTTAAGGTTTCTTGTTGCTGCTGCTCTGGGTCATTTTCTGCTGAGCCTGCCACTTTTGCTCTGCTAACCTCGACTCTCCCCAAATACGGTTCCATCTCCAGCCCCGGCCCCTGTGCTGAGAAGGTACCACTGCCCCAGAAGTCTAGCCATAAAGGCAGCTACCTGATGCATCCCTGAAGGTCCTTGGCCTAGCTTGGAGCTTAGGACCTAAGTCTATCCCACTCGGGATCTTGAATCAGGATCCCAACACTCAACCAGCCTAGGGTCCAGAGCTCAGAGTCTAACCAGTTTGGAGGTAGGCACAGCAACTCAGAGTCTAGCCAACCTAGCTCCAACAGGGGCCCAGTGCCCTAGGGAGATGGGTCTGAGGTGGGGGTTCATGAGTTGATGCCAGGGCCAGGGTCATCTGGACTCCACTCCATCCTAAGGCTAAGGGCTGGGTCCACCCTTTCGCTAGGCTAAGCACCTCTATGCCCTCTAGGTTGGGGAAGCAACCTGGAACCCATGGCAATAATAGAAGGTTGTCCAGCTTAGGCCCCTGGTCCTCTTACTGTTTGCTGGATAATAAATGGAACTGGGTGCGGTGGCTCAGTTTGTAATCTCAGCACTTTAGGAGGCCAAGGCAAGAGGATTGCCTGAGCCCGGGGGTTTGAGACCAGCCTGAGCAACTTGGTGAGACCTCGTCTCTACAAATCACAAAAATTAGCTGGGCATGGTGGTGTGCATCTGTAGTTCCAGTTACTTGGAAGGCTGAGGCGGAAGGATCACCTGAGCCCAGCAGGTCGAGGCTGTGGTGGCACTCCAGCCTGGGTGACAAAAAGTGAGACAAAATAAATAAATAAATAAATGGAACTCTGGCTTTACCCTGAGGGTGCAGAAAAAGTATTGTAGAAAGAATTGTCATTAATGTTTGCATTCTTATTTTTAATGTAGATAAATGTTTTCTGTTTTCTTTTAAATTAGATGCATACAATATTCCAAGTCTGGACAGCGTCAAGAATTATTACAGGTACTGTAATAAACAGAAGACTATGTAAAGTCTGTGCGACAAGGAGGGTGCAGTCAATTCAGTAAATGAGTGAAAATTTCTTTTTTTTTTTTTTTAAAGAAACAATGGTTGGGGGAGGTTCTCACTATTTTGCTCAGGCTGTCCTTGATTTCCTGGACTCAGGCAATCCTCCTATCTCAGCCTCCTGAGTAGGTGGGACTACAGGTGCCTGCCACCACACTCAGCCGAAAACATTTTTTAACAATAAAATTCTTATATAAAGAACCTCTGGTAATTTAGAAAAGGCGCCTTTATATTTTTCTGTGACAGATTCAGCTCTTTTTGTTTGTTTAGACTTTTTCTTTTCTTTAATTCTTCTAGTTTCATGTACAGGCATACCTCATTTTATTGTCCTTTGCTTTATTGCACTTTGCAGATATTGTGTTTTTTTATAAATTGAAAGTTTCTGATCGATCTTGCCTCAAATCTACAACACCATTTTTCTAACAGCACTTGCTCACTTCATGTCTCTGTGTCACATTTTGGTAATTCTTGCAATATTTCAAACTTTTTGATTATTATATCTGTTATGGTAATCTGTGATCCGTGACCTTTGATGTTATTGTTGTAATGAATTGTTTTGGGACTCCATGAACCACACCCATATAAGCCGATGAACTTAATTGATAAACGTGCATGTTCTCACTGCTCTACTAATGGACCACTCCCCCATCTCTTTTGGGCCTCCCTGTTCTTTGAGACACAACAATGTTGAAAGTAAGCCATTTTGGCCTGACTCGGTGGCTCAACTTGTAATCCCACCACTTTGGGAGACTGAGGCGAGTGGATTGCCTGAGCCCATGAGTTCAAGACCAGCCTGGGCAACTTGGCAAGACCTCATCTCTACAATAAATCAAATATTAGGACGCACTAATAGTTCCAGCTACTTGGAAGCCTGAGGTGGAAGGATCGCTGGAGCCCAGTGGGTTGACGCTGGGGTGGCCCTAAGTGTGCCACTGCACTCCAGCCTGGGTGACAGAGTGATGATACTCCAACTCAAAAAAAAAAAAAAAAGAAAAAGAAAAAGAAAGAAAGTAGGCCATTTAGTAACCCAACAGTGGCCTTGTAGTCAAGTGAAAGGAAGAAGCGAACATTTCACACTTTAAATCAAAAGCTAGAATTGATGGAGCTTGGGAAGCTGAAGCAGGAGAATTGCTTGAGCCCAGGAGTTGGAGGCTGTGGTGAACTGTGATCATGTAGATTGCCGCAGACTGATATGTCAAAAGCTGAGACAGGCCAAAAGCTAGGCCTCTTGCACCAAGCAGTTAGCCAAGCTGTGAATGCAAAGAAAAAGTTATTGAAGGAAATTAAGAGTGCTACTCCAGGCCGCATGCGGTTGCCTGTAATCCCAGCACTTTGGGAGGCCAAGGATGGAGGATTGCTTGAGCACAGGGGTTCAAGACTGGTCTGGGCAACAGAGGAAGACCTCATCTCTACAAAAAATTAAAAAAATTAGCTGGATGTGGTGGTGTACACCTGTAATCCTAGCTACCTGGGAGGCTGAGGCAGGATTGCTTAGTCCAGGAGTTGTAGGTTGTGGTGAGCTGTGATTGTGCCAATTGCCACAGAATAAAACTTAAACTCAAAAGAAAAAAATTGCTACTCCAGTGAACACATGAATGATAAGAAAGTGAAACAGCCTTCTTGCTGATATGGAGAAAGTTCTAATGGTCTAGATCAGGGGTGTCCAACCTTTTGGCTTCCCTGGACTACATCAAGTAAAGAGGAATTGTCTTGGGCTGCACATAAATTATACAATATAGATAGTGTTTATACATAATAAGACTTTAAAAAATATTTAATATAAAGTGTGGAAACACAAGAACAATATAAACTAGGGAGAAATTTGCCTTGTTTTTGTAAAACTAATCAATGTCCAGTTTGATAGAAGCGGTTGCAATTCTTAGTGAGTTCTCAAGGTACTCATCAGAAATATTTGTTCAAATTTTGCACTTCATGTGCTTCATAATTGAAAACAGCTGCTCACAAATGTATGTGCTGCCAAAAAGCGATGTCATGAATAAGGCGTGATTGTGAACCTCAAAAATGGAACTATGCATGGGGTCACAAAGAAAATAAACACAAAAAACACATGGTGTTAAAGATTTTGTAGGTGTGCATTACTAGCCGTCCTGGGCCACATGCAGCCCATGGGCTGTGGGTTGGACATGCCTGATCTAGATAGAAGATCAAACCAGCCACAAACTTTCCTTAAGTCAAAGCCTAATTCAGAGCAAGACCCTGACTCTCTTTAATTCTGTGAAGGCTGAGAGAGGTGAGGAAGCTGCAGAAATAAAGGTGGAAGCTAGCAGGGTTAGTTCATGAGGTTTAAGGAAAGAATCTGCTTCCATAGCATAAAAGTGTAGAGTGAAGCAACAAGTTATCCAGAAGATCTATTAATAGCTAGGATCATTGATGAAGCTGACTGCACTAAACAACAGATTTTTCATGTAAATGACATAACCTTCTATTGAGAGAAGATGCTGTTTAGGACTTTCATAATTAGAGGGGAAACATCAATGCCAGGCTTCAAATGACAGGCCTACTCTCTTGTTAGGGGCTAAGGCACTTGGTTACTTTTAAGCTAAAGCCATTGCTCATTTACCATTCTGAAAATCCTAGCGTCCTTAAGAATGGAGCTAAATTGCTGGGATGGTGGCTCATGCCTGTGATCCCAGCACTTTGGGAAGTGGAGGCGAGAGGATTGCCTGAACTCGGAGTTCGAGACCAGCCTGAGCAACATGGACCTTGTCTCTACAGTAAATCATAAAATTAGCCGGGCATGATGGCGCACATCTGTAGTTCCAGCTTCTTGGAAGGCTGAGGCAGAAGTTTCCCCTGAACCCAGCAGGTGAAGGCTGTGGTGGTATGAACATGCCCCTGCACTCCAGCCTGGATGAAAGAGTGAGAGTCTGACTCAAAAAAAAAGAAAAGAAAAGAAAAAAGAATTGAGCTAACGCTATACTTCCAGTGTCCTAGAAATGGAACAACAAAGTCTGAATGACAGCATATCTGTTGACAGCACGGTTTACTGAATATTTTAAGCCTACTGTTGAGAACTATTGCTTAGAAAAAAAGATTTCTCTGAAAATATTACTGCTCATTGACAAGGGTACACTCAAGAACTCTGATGAAGATGTACAAGAAGATGAATGGTATGCCTGCTAAAACAATATTCATTCTGTAGCCCATGATCAAGAAGTAATTTTGGCCTTCAACTATTATTATTATTATTATTATTTTTGTGAGTCAGAGTCTCATTTTGTCCCCCAGGCTGGAGAGTAGTGACATGATCGTGGCCACCACAGTCTTGACCTTCTGGACTTAGGTGATCCTTCTGCCTCAACCTTCCAGGTAACTTGAACTACAGGCAGGCATCACCATGCCTGACTAATTTTTTTATTTTTTGTAGAGACATGGTCTTGTCAGGTTGCCCAGGCTGGTCTCAAATGCCTGGGCTCAGGCAGTCCTCTTGCCTCCGCCCCCCAAAGTGCTGGGATTACAGTTGTGAGTCACCACACTTGGCCTGATTCTTACTATTTAAGAAATATGTGGCTGGGCTCGGTGGCTCAGCCTATAATCCCGTGCCTTGGGAGGCCGAGGTGGGTGGATTGCCTGAGCCCGTGGGTTTGAGACCCACCTGGGCAACTTGACGAGAACTCATCTCTACAATAAATCAAAAAATCAGCCGGGCACGGTAGTGTGCACCTGTAATTCTGGCTACTCGGAAGGCTGAGGCGGAAGAATTGTCGGAACCCAGCAGGTTGAGGCTGCGGTGGCCGGCAGCGGCCACTGTACTCCAGTCTGGGTGACAGAGTGAGACTCCAACTCAAAAAAAAAAAAAAAAAAAGAAAGAAATATGTTTTGTAAGGCTAGCTTCCATAGACGTGATTCCTCTAATGGATCTGGGCAAAGTATATCGACAACTTTCTGAAAAAGATTCGCCATTCCAGATGCCATTAAAAACAGTCATGATTTATGGGAGGATGTCAAAGTGTCAACATGAACAGGAGTTTGGAAGAAGTGGATTTCAACCCTTATGGGTGACTTTGAGGGTTCAAGACTTCAGTGGAGGGAGTAACTACAGATGTGACTGAATTACCACAATCTCATGGTAAACCTTGAAAAGATGAGAAGTTGCTTCCTATCAGTGAGTAGAGAAAGTTATCTCTTGAGATGGAACCTACTATTCTAGTGAAGATGCTATGAACATTGTTGAAATAACAACAAAGGATTTAGAATATTCGATAAATTACTTGGTAAAAGAGTGACAGGGTTTGAGAGGATTAACTCCAGTTTTGAAAGTTCCTCTGTGGGTAAAATGTTATCAAACACCATCACATGCTACAAGGAAATCTTTCGTGAAGGGAAGAGTCAATCAATGTGACAAACTTTAAGTTGTCTTATTTTTAAAAATTGCCATACCCACCTCAACCTTCAACCACTACCCTGATCAGTTAGCAGCCATCGACATCAAGGCAAGACCCTACAGCAGAAAGATTATGACTCGCTGAAGTCTCAGATGATCATTAGTATTTTTAGCAGTATTTTTTTTTTTTTGAGTTGGAGTTTCACTCTGTCACCCAGGCTGGAGTGCAGTGGCCGCTCCCGGCCACCGCAGCCTTGACCTGCTGGGCTCCGGCGATCCTTCTGCCTCAGCCTTCCAAGTAGCTGGAAGTACAGGCACGTGCCGCTATGCCTGGCTAATTTTTTGATTTATTGTAGAGATGAGGTCTCTCCAAGTTGCCCGGGCGGTCTCGAACCCGCGGGCTCAGGCAATCCACTCACCTTAGCCTCCCAAAGCGCAGGATTACAAGCTGAGCCACCAAGCCTGGCAGCAGTATTTTTTTAAAGTTAATATCTCACTGTCGCCTAGGCTAAGTGCAGTGGCACAATCACAGCCTCAAATTACTAAACTTAAGCAATATTCCCACCTTAACCTCACGAGTAGCTGTGACTAT